GGCCGATTCGCATTGAACTCCTGCACGATGGGCAGACTTTTGAGGTGAAGGTCGGCGCCGGTGGCGGCCGCCGCCTCTGAACCCTCCTCATTCACCTCAATCACCGCCTTGTGGGCCACCTTGGAGAGGAAGAGATTTGGGTGGCCGTTGATGCGGCTGAGGTCGGCGCGGGCGCTGCTGAAGGCAGTTCGAATGCCCAAATTTTGCAAGGGCTCATTCAAGCTCGAGTAATCGCCGGTGATGCTGAAGCGAGGGAGGTGCAGGCGGACGGTAGTGTTTCGAAGGGCAGAAAGGCGTTCGGCTATTTTCACTGAAGCGCGTCCGCCATATCGCTCAAACTGTCCAGCGATCGTTTGGTAGTCCTTCACCCAGTGAATGTCTGGCAGGTAGATTAGCATGGAAAGGGAACTGTCGGCGTAGGGCAGCTCCACCAGGTCGCCGTCGTCAAAGTGGGCGTAGCGAAGAGTTCCCCGCAGTGTCATGGTGGGAACCGGCGCCTGAACGTTGGGCAGTTCATAGCGAAAGGGGGCGTCCACGGTTTGGCTGGCGTTGAAGCGGTACTGCCAGGCGCCCTTGAAGTAGAGGGCGTTGAGGAGGACGAGGACGCTCTCCGCGTCGAGGTCTTCGGTGAAGAGCTTTTCTACCTTGTTGTGTGTTTGCTGGGCGACCCAGGCGTTAATGGAGGCTGTCGCCTCGTGGGCGTGTCGCGAAAAGTCGACGGGGAAGGGCGTGGCGCCGAAGCTCTCTCGAACTACGCGTTCGTATTCGGGCAGCAGGCGGAAGGTGTTTTGCAGGGCGATGGAGTTGGCCATCTGCAGGGTAATATGTTTGTTGTTTTCTCCGCTGGTTGATTTGACGCCCTGCAGGAGGTGGCTGTAGCCGGTGAAGACGTCCTGTTCGGACATCTTTTCGAAACTGAGTTAAAGTGATGTTAAGTGAGATGTTGATAAGTAGTGCTAAAGTTACCCGAGGGTGTTCTTGATCTCCTCGCCGGTGACGTTCCGCCCACCGGCCATCAGCATGGTGAGCACTGAGCTGAGGGAAAGCGGCGAGATGAGCAGATTTCTCGGCGTCTGCAGGTGTTTCTGGCCTCGTTCCGTCTTCTCCGCCAGCTCCAGTCGGTGCAGCAGCTGCAGGCCAAAGTCGTCGTTTGCCTTGGCCACGTGAAGAGCTTTTAAAGCGGGACCAGGAGCCTCGTCGGCCATGAGGAAATCGCAGGCAGCTAAAAGAGACGCCACTAAAAGAAAGGTGAGACGACTCATGTTTGTGGTTGGTGATGAGAAGATGCGAAGAACAAAACTGCTGGTAAAATGTTGCTTGTTTCAGTATGGTAGCAACAGTGAGTGAGTGAGTTGCCGTTAAAATGACCAAAATGTGCTCCACTGCGAGGCTATTTAAATATAAATGAGACTGTTTGGCAGTGTTTGGCAGTTTGACAGCAGCAGCACTCAGCCAGTGTGCAGTGCACTATGGCGACCAGACCAAGGCAACGCACCGCTTGCTGTGTATTTCCTCTCTCTCCTGACCATTTCAGTGTTGCTGTTGATGACTGTGGTGAAGAGCATCACCTGGCAGACGTACAAATACACACTCCACCACCACAGGTAGTGGCCAATCTTTTCATCTTTTTTGCTATCTCCACGCCTAATTAACATCTGCTGGACAACGCAATGACTGTATTTGTCTGTGTGTGTGTGTGCTGCTAGAGAGTTCGCTCAGTCGATTCGCTGTTTGATCTCATTGCCAGTGCCCGTGCAGCGTTGGCTGATATTGATCACTGACAGAAGTGCAGTCTACTCACTCTCTGTGATGATGTGACATTTGAAGTACACTTTGTGGAAGCTCTCTTTTCTCTCTTTTTCCCTCTCTCTCTC